TATGGATGATATCTTGGTAAAAATCTTCTATGTCCCATGTACACATTTTTTTCCCATGAACCAACCGTATTGAAGAAGTGTTAGTGCCACATATCGGACAAGCTTTATAACCCTTCACAGTGCATCCACATAAGTTTCCATACGCTGGAAAGTCGTTAATAGTCCACAACAAGACAACTTTTAGAATAAACGATTCTTGTTTGTGCGCATCATAACACTGAACTCCATCTTCCCACAAAAGTTTCAAGTCCTCAATCAACGGAGCTAGATATATATTTATATCGTACCCCGGTTGTTTCGGTCCTGAAATTAACATGGTCAACATCAAGAACTTCCTCTTCGTGCACAACCATGGTGGAAGGTTATATATTGTAGTTATCACTGGCCAACAACTATATTTATTGTTCCTATCCCCATATGGGTTAACACCATCCGTTGATAAGCGCAAACGTAAATTTCTTGATTCCAAACCAAAATCCGGCCAAAGGTGATCTATTAACCTCCAAGAGGGAGAGGCAGCTGGATGTCGCAAAACCCCATCTACTTTCCTACCGGTACTGTGCCATGTCAAATTCTTAGCATGAGCGGAGCTCCTAAATAGTCTAAGGAATCTTGGAATTATCGAAAAGTAGTACAGTTACTTTGCGGGAACTCCTTCTTTTTCCTTAGTTGTATCCTTATTTAATTTCCACCTAGACAAACTACAAAAAGGACATCGGTTCATGCGTGCGTATTCCTTTCTATATAAGCAACAATCATTAGGACATGCATCAATTTTCTCATAATTCAAACCCAGAGAACACAATGTTTTTTTCGCCTCGTACATGGATTTCGGCATTTCATTCAACTCTGGTAGGAGGTCACTAATTACAAATAGTAATTCTGAAAAACTGGAATTGGTCCATGAATATCGTACTTTCAGGTTGTATAATCTTACTAAAGCTGACAATTTCGTGAACCTTTTACATCCAGGGTATAATGGTTTCTTAGCATTATCGAACATATTTTCAAACGATTTCGGTACATGTGAAATTCCATCATAAACAGTCTGAACCATGTTAATCACATCGAACAAATCATTATCATCTTCATGATTCTTATTGAACTCACCATTCAACCTATCCTCATCTGTTCTAGGTGCATGTTCTTCACCATGCCAGAACCATACCCTATAGCTCTGGTCAATACCGTGTTCGTACAAGTGATTTCTAATGGTTGCAGCATCCTTATCTATACGGTTTCCACATTTCAAGCAGGGACAACGTATAACCTTAGAACCATTTGCATGATGGAACCCAAATTCAATGAATGACTCGACTCCTAACTCATAATCTTCAGACAATCTATTTTTTTCATCCATGATTTGTCCATTGTCCTGATATTAGACAACTTATTAAATGATGAGGTAAACAATTTGCTTATGATAATATGGAAAAGAAAGAAACTACAAGTCGAGACTAATTTTAAGGTTTATTCGAAGTACATCAAATATGGACAGTATGATTAAACTTGTTGTCAAACTTCAAGAGCATGAGATCATCCCATGAAAGGCAGCGTAGGGAGGACCATCTCAATAAAGAAACTACCATGACGTATAATGGTCATTAAAAGGAGAAGTTTTCTAGAAACAAACAAACTTGCAAAGATATGGAGGCTAGCAAATATCTAAATATAGTATCTAACTTGGTTAGTCTAACAATTAGACAACTCTCATAAGGTATAATTTAACTAAACTAACATGAAAAAAATAGAAACCTTCCTATTCTTATTCCTATTCCTATTTCATATTCCCTAAAATATAGCAAATACACGCACTTGTTTTTTTTTTCTTCCCCACTCATTTTCCTTGTGTGTATAGCAAAGGGATTGAAGAAAAATTATTATGATTGTTGTGTATATAAGAAAGTTATCACTAGTGATGTCTTTGTTCTACTCCTCTATGTCGATGACATCTTGATAGCTTCTAAAGAAAAAAGCGAGATTGAGAAGATAAAATATGAACTTAGAAGTGAATTTGAGATGAAGGACTTGGGCCAAGGCAAGAATTTAAAATACTAAATTCCACAAAAATGAATTAAACTTTTCCACAAAAATGAAAAACTAAATTCCATAGTCTGCCCACACTAATAACAACAGTACTTCCACTACACATGTCACAACTCAACTTAAAATTTTCATTCCAAATAGGTCACATAAATCAACTTGATATTTCCATTCCAACTAGTTGAGGGTATCAATTTCACCATAGTTTGTGGTTCACTATAACAAAATTTAAGGACTCGTTGAACCAAGTTCCCTGAAAGAAATGACCACAAAAAAAAGAAGAAACTAAAGTGGAAACTAAATTCAATATTCCATAAAACAATAATAATAGTACTTAAGAGTTTCCCACTACAAAAGTCATAACTTAAACTTAATATTTCCATTCCAAATAAGTCACATAAATCAACTAAACATTTTCATTCAAACTAGTTCAATGTATTAATGTCACCAAAATTGAAGGTCAGTTCAACAGAATTGAAAGACTCATTGAACCCACTCAAGAAATGAAAA